TAAATCTCTATGATTTTTTGTAGTTTTTTGAAAAAATAATCCAAAAAAATTGCCAAACACATATATTTAGAAACATTATATGGTTATAAAAAAAAACTCTCAACCATAATTCCAAACACATCTTAATAATTATATTAAATTTTAACTAATCTATCAAGTCAAGTTGAGTTAAATTAGATCTCATAAAAGAAAATTTCTCTTAATATGTATTTTTCTATTCACAAAACTTAAACGTAAGATATTGTTTAGATGTTGTTTAAGACGAAGTGAACTCTCTTCACTTAAACCAATAAATCATGAGTGCAATTCAATACTTATTTCTAATAAATTAGTAAACTAATCAAATTCAAGATAGAATTAGCCCTTAGACTATTCTAAATACGACAAAAGTAAAATATAAAAACTAAGGGGAGATTTTATTTCCCAATCCGTGCCTTTCTTTAAAAAAAAAGAAGAAGATGGATCTTATTTGACATTAATTCAAAATAAAAATTACTGTTTGTTTTGAAGGACAACATATATGGAGAGGATTTTAATGCTGAGAGTATATATCACATTTTTTTTTATAAAAAAAATGCAATTAATACATACCACTTTGCAAACAAAGTCCAACTCAGCTCGTAAGACTTATTCTTCTGATTGGATATATTGCAGGACTTTAATTTTCAGATTTTAGATTTAATTTGTTGACCAACTTATTCTTACCTAAATTGATCAACACTTGACCCCAAATCATACGCATGCATCTTCCCCCACATAGGGTTAAAATTTATGTATATAAAGTACTGAAAAGAATTCAAAGTCTGAAGAAATTAATTAAGGATATCAAATTCTAGAATTATTATATATTGTTGAAGGATTGCATAAACTTTTAACATGAAGATTGCATTTCATCAGAAACTGGTTATTTTCTCAAGTTGAATTAATCTCACATATATTATATATAATTATTATGAATCAAGGAAAAACTAGGAAACTAGGGACCGGAAAAAAGCAAAGAGCTTATTTTTCGCACATAGAAAACTGGCTACATTCTCCCAAACAACATCGATGGAAGGCCTTCTGGCTTACATACAAACACAAAAACAAAAGCACAAATTAAAGAAAAAGTTAAAAGGAAATACAACAACATATAGGAGTACTTGGATTCAGGCTGGAAAGACTATTTTTTTGCAGTAGTAGGAGGGTTGTCTGCAGCGGCGGGGGAATGGTTTGCAGAAGACTCTTGCTGCTGATCAACCGTGGATGGATTCGTGGACCTCTCAGCGGTGGGAGGAGGAGTAGGGTTGTGATGGCCATGGAGGGCTGAGGTTGCCAGCTTGGCCGAGTCTGTGGATCTTGGTGGCTCGTCCTCGATGAGTAGCTCCCGTGGGAGGAGAGCTTGGGAGGGTTGGCGTCGATGGCGAGACATTTGGGGTAGATTGTTTGGGTTGGTTTGGCGTGGATAATGGAAAATGTAGGTGGGGAGTGATGCCCCTTAAAAGGATGTTGTAAAAATTATTAATTAAGGGTCTTAAAATAGTTATTCCAAGCATGAAAATAACATGCGGAAATACATCAATCATTGCTTTCAATTCTGAAAACTAATGCCTTTATATATATATAATTATCTTATATAATTCAATTAGGGATAATTAACTTCATTTTTTTATTTAAATAACTATAATTTTTGAGAATAAGAAAAGGAAATGAAGTCAAGAATCCTTAAATCTTGATCGAGTGAGCAACAAGTAGTATTGTTTTTACCCGCTCCATAAGTTAAATTTGATTAATTCACTTTGTTTATTATCTTATAATGAAATAAAATGAATATCATTATCTACGATCTTATACAATTATTAAATAAAGAAACTAATTTT